CTCAACTTCTGCTTCTCCTATTTTGATGTCACCTCATCTGCAATTCCAGCTTTTAGCCTGTGTCTGGATCACCCTTTTCTGTCTGTCTTTTCCGATTGTGTTGTGGATATTGGGCTTTTGGTTTTTTTTTTTTTTTTTCACTTAAGCTTGTCATGCAGGACATAATTTCTCTTTCTGAGCTGTTGAGTGGTAACTGGCTGACCCATAGAAGTAGGAATAAAACAAGAACTCTTCTGCCATAGTAAGAAATTCTTACATTTATAACATCATCTCTAAATAGCAACCAGCTTGTTTCTAACTTCTAGCACTGTAGTGAAGGGGATTTTAATCTACAAACCTTCACCGTGGTTCAGTCAGATGAAGCTTTAATAAAATGATAGTCTGTCTCCCTCTCTCTGCTGCCCCCCAGATCTCACACCATGGCTAGAGAATAGTGCCTTCAGCAGCCTTTTCCAAGCTGTTTCATTTGTTTACAGAGTGCACCAGAGTGCTACTGGGAATGCAGGGTGAAATGTCAAGAAGTTGTGTGTAAATCTTCCAGTAATCTGTCATGTCCAGGAGGAACTGGGGGAAAGGGGCGGATCTGTGGGAATACTGGAGGATATCAAAGCTAGAGTTTTGCTTCTTGGATTTGGAGATCTCTCCCTACAGAATGGATGGCTCTGGAATCTAAAAGAAACCAGAAAAGAAAACCGCTGCCATTATAAATATGCACACTAAGGCAAATAAGCCTAGGATGAAGCAACATGTGAAGGATTTCTGGAGTATCAAGCTGCTTAGGCTAAAACCTCATAAGAAGTTTGGTTTGGGTGAAGTATATAGGCATGTACAGGTGTGTATATATAGGGATAACACTGCAGAGGACTGCTTCCATCCCCAAGGCTGGGGACCACTGTCCTCAGGTAAGGCAGGTTGCTGGTCCTGCATAAAACAGGGATGTTAATTCTTATTCCTTTGACCCCAGGTGGTCGATAGTCTGCACTACTAATGCTGGCAAAAGGTGTCAGTTTGGCAAAATTATAAAAATGATTTTTTTCTTTATTACTCCTTCTTTGGAATTCTTAAATGTTTCTCTGTTGTTTGTGAAAAAGCAAGTTCTCACTAATTAAAAAAAAATTACATAGCTGGATTGATTTATGTTCCTTATTAGAGTAATAATTCATCTGTAATGGGGTTAGGTCAATTCATAAAATTATAAATCTGGGGGAGAAAAAGTCTCGACTCTTTCCCACGGTAAGCATTTATTCGTGTTTGAAAGTTCTTGTTTACATTTGTGCAGAGTCATTATTTGGTAGTAAAAAATCAATGTGGAGAAGTAATACTCTTAGTGTTACCATGCCATTGTATCTTTTACTTTTTCTTGCACAAAGCAATATAGACCCATGACGTTCAGTGTCATCAGAGCTCCTCCTCATACCTTTGTATTTGCATGCATCTGTCATCCCTGCTGAGTACAATAATAAAGACACTGTATTTTTTATTTGACTGTTTAATAATGCAAGTATTTTTGTGGGAGTCTGTCTAACAAAACCTGTTTGTATGCTTATAGCCTTCTGACACCACAGTGAGATTTCAAATGAAGATGTATTAGTGTGCATTACAAGCGTGTGATTGCTTGTGTCATTATGAAATAGATGAAAAATTAGTTCACTGCAGTAGTTTTTATCTGGACTGATCAAAACATCTCCCAATGATTTTTCTAACAATATGCGATTGGAATAACAACTTCACATGTTGTAGAGTCCCATGCTGCAGTCAAGAGGCATGTAAATACAAGCTGCTTGTTTGCAAGAAGCTTCCAGATTTGCAAAATGATTGCTATGGAAACCACACAATGAAAACCTTATAACCATCTGTGTGTTTTGGTGGATTTTGCTGCATAGCTGAGCTATTTTTATTTACTGTGATTAAAGTGTTGAATATATTAACCCACAAACTGGGATTATCCGAGGTATAAACTAGTATTGTGCAATGACAGTGTGTCAGAGACTAGAAGACAGCAAAATACCAATTAATAATGGCATTAAATTAGAGTCTAATGTAAAAAGATGGTTAAGTAATGTGTTAGTAGAGGAAACTGTGAAGTTTATGCATATTTATCATGAAGATACCACATTCCATTGAAGGAATGCACTGTTCAAGCCAAACTTTACCCATTTTATACTCAAGTAGCCTGATTTTTTTTTTATCCCCTCTCCTTTTAAGAAAAACTAGAATTAAAAAAAATGGATTAATGTAAAAAACTCAGCTAGTGTAGAATTCATTGTTCACTTCTTAAATTGTGTGGATGGTAGAATCATGTCTGATTGGGTGACTGCAAATTAAGTAAGTAAATAATTTTCAACAGCTTTCATGAACTGACTGAAAAAACCCTTAACAAATATAGTTGGCTCTCTGTTGCACTGTCACCGAAAGAATTTTGTGGGTTTGCCATTAGAATCTCTGAATACCAGCAGAGTATGGAACATAACCTGTATTTTAAGTGCTCTTTGGGTCTGCAGTTCTAGAGGAGTTCACTGATTTGATTAGTGTTAATTACATATTGATTCAGGACATAATAGCAGAAAACATTAGTAAGAACCATAGGTTCTTTTCTACCAGCCTAAGCCAAGCCTATTACCTCTGCTCCACTGTGAGTATGATTGCATTAGCAAGTAGTGTGGACCATTTGCAACAGATAAAGCACAAGTTTGTGCCAAAGACCTGATGTTCGTTCTGTGCATGTTTCAGAAGAGGTTTTCTATGGATTCTCTTTAGTCTGGTTCCATGGACTCAATGTGAATAGGCAGCTGGACAATGTTCAGTGTGCTTCCGGAATGCCTCTTCCAGACCTGAAGGTTTGTTCTCTCTGTGCAACTCTATAGTGTAAATAAAAGTGGAATAGGTGAGGATGGTTGGGATCTGAACAGGTATGCTAATATGGACAGCCTTTGTTTGAATATTTTTGTTCAAGGCCAGGTTGGACAGAGCCCTGGGTGACATGGTTTAGTGTGAGGTGTCCCTGCCCATGGCAGGGGGTTGGAACTAGATGATCTTAAGGTCCTTTCCAACCCTAACTATTCTATGATTCTATAATTTGGGACCTTTCCAGTATTTCCATATATTTTCTTGGTTCAGACATTTTTCCATTTTCAGATATGGATCTGGTGACCTCTTGTTTCTAGGAAATACATGTTTCAGGAAGGGGAATGCATATATTCTATTTTTTTCCATGAAACCACAATGCAGTCTACATGTATTCAGCTGTACCTTATGAAAACACATCTCTTCAAATGTCCTCTGCTGTTACTTCAGTTAAAATACCCTCTACTAAAGTCAGTCCTCAGTTGATCGTGAGTTAAAATCCACAGTACATTCAACGCATCAGTTGATGTGTGTCCAAATATTCAGTAACATGTAACATCAAGATTTATTTAATCAATGTAATACTCCGTGTTGAATGCAACTGGGTTGTTCTTGGACAAGGGAGCAATTCTAGAAAATGTGACCGGTAATGGATGAATACTACCTGTGAGTGGTGTAATAGTAGTAGGGAAGCCACAGAATGACAGTGCCTCCTAGTGCTCTGGACAGCACATACAGGTGTATTTTTGCCATTCATACTCCGACTGTGAGTGCTTAAAATAAAAATAAATGAGTGTACTTGGGAATGTGCAACAAGTGTTATGCCAAGTAGGGGAATACATTTGAGCGCAGTAAATAGTTCAGAGTGTTTTGTGTTGTACTGCAGCTTCACATTTTCCCAGCTCTATTGTTTTGCTTTTTCCTTTTTTCCCTTCTTCTTCCCTTGGCTATGATATATATTGATCTCAACCAGATTTTTAGTTGTTCAAGAGTCAGAAAGCAAAAAACTCTTGCTGGCTTAGTAGGGCAGAATTTCAGAGCTCTGTAGAGTGAAGCTCATGATGTAATTTGTAGGACTGCGTACATAATTTAGCAGCAATAATGCATACTCATTTCAACAGGTCTGCTCTTGTGCTTTAAACATCTGCTTTAATGTTTGCAGGAACAGTCTTGTGGATAGATTATTTTTTTACAAGGCTAAAAATCCTTTGAACTGTTGATATAAAATTCACTGTTTGTAAAAGTAGATAGGCAATTACATAGAAGTTTTACAATAAGGAACATTTTAAAAGCTGTATCTTTTGTCATTAATATCAGAATTAGTTGCTGAAATGCAAGTCTTAAAATGAAGCATGAATATCTGTGTAAAATGTGAGGAGTATAAAAGCCAAATGCTTTAAATGTATTAAAAGCTTAATTCTTCTTTGAGAAGTGGGTTTATCAGTATACTATTTCTTCATTCAGTACAACAGCTTTGTCAGTTTTGATATACTGTAAAGGCCAAGATAAATCTGTTTCTATTTCCTTATGAACATAAGGAAAGAAAACAGCTAAACCCCCTCGTACTTTGTGCCCTTTTTTTTCCTCATCAACAGAATTGTTGACTGTGAAATGTAAGGAGCAGGTCTTATGTCCCTGTACTGAGTGGAATATGGGTTTACTTAAGTGATGGTGTGGGCATGAGAGAGTAGTTCCCTGTCTGTGCCGGACAAGGAATATGGAGAACATCTTTTGAAATTGCCTGTGGGGATTTCAGTGTTCCAGGTCTGTTAGCCAGAAAACACGCTTCAGAGCTATGATCCTCAGTTTAGTTTTCTTTATCCTGGTAAGAAATACATGTAGCAGAATAGGACCCTCATTCTAATTGCCTCAGAATGAATGAAACCCAGCAGATCTGTAGCTTTACTGTATTCAGAGCAAAGTGAAAAGGGAAACAGATGTTCACAATTGAGATTTTGAAAGAAAGCTCTTGGAGTGTTTGGATGGGTGGGGGAAACCACAGAAATAACAATGTTCCAACTTCTGTACAATGCAAAATAGTAAACAGGGTTTACAGTCTGGAAATGTAGAGTGTGGCTTTCAGACTGATGCAGGCTGTAATTCCTGTCAGCTGAGGTGTCCCTTCGGAGTTTCATTTGCAGTTATATGTTTTGCAGAAGAACATACTCCTTCAAAGGCTGAAGTGCCAGGAAAACTCATCCAGGAGAAAGTTACCGTTGTTTCAGGTAATGAAAATATTTCCTCTTTTTTTCTTTTCGTGTAATGCACTTTCTTTTTACCTTTATTTCCTTGTCTCTTCCCTTTGCTGTGTTAAAATAATGTTTTTATAGCTCTGTAAAGCTGTCTTTTTCATCTGGGTATTTGACGGCAGCAAAGCTGCTTAGCACCACTTAGGATGCATGAAAACCACTTGAGAAGGATTTATAAAGTAAGCCAATTTATACAAGGTATTCCTTCCTGAATTACTTTGTAATGACTCAATTAGCTTTCATTTCTGCACAAAGGAGATTTAGTTGCATAAATTAGCTTATCATCATTGAGGAAGTGTCACTGCTAAAGGACAGTTTATAGATACAACATGCAGTTGCTGTCAAACCTATAAGAATCTAATATAGACATCTGTGTATACTTTGTGCTTGAGCAGAACAGACTTCTGCCATTCAGAGACAAACAGGGGACAACAAGTTGCCCAAGGGACTGGCAATGTAGACGTCTCTGAAAAGGTCAACTTGACACAGGCTCTGACAATCGACCCAAAGCTCTGTCTTCTTTGATAAAAATCAGATAAACTTAAGACCACTAATTGATCTGCAGCCTGTTTAAATGTTGGCCATGCATATCTTCAGTGCATATGATTACCACAGAAAGCAAATGAATTGGGTAAGAAATGCCAGAGTCCAGTGACAGCAGCATAAAAATTGGAAAAGGACACAAATGCCCAGAAAGGCTGTGAAGGATATTCTCTCAGCTGCAGTCTGGCAAACTGCCCTTGTGCTAATTATCTCTGGGACTGGAAAAATAATACCCCATGTAAAGTCACATGGCCAGACAACTTTTCTTGACAGAAAGGTATTTCCAGTTATGCTTAAAAACAAGATATATTTGTGCTTCAAGGGCACAGACCTCTAGATAAACTGTTGGCGATTTGACACAGCAAGTAGAGAAGACTTGCTTCTTATCAGACCTTGCACCTTTTTGAGATCTGCTGCATTGTAACCGTGACCTGCACTGACATGCAAACTGGCTCTCCTTCCCCCATCGTACTTAATACACATAATTCTTTCAGGGCTGTCAAGGAAAGGGTGGGCAAGAAGAGTTCCTTTAGGAAGTAGCTCTGCAGTGCTCTTCCTGTTGCAACATGTGGAGAGGAAACAGAGGCCTGATTTCCTGAGCCATACAGGAAAGCAGGAACAGGTTGCTGTGAGGAGTTTTGGGTTGCTTTTCTTGGAAAGGAAACAAGAACCAAGTCATCAGATGCTGTTAGCATTGTGCTCTGCTAAAAACATGTGTAAAACAACATGACTCATTACAGCCTTAATATTTAGTACTTATTTAGACATTACTGTAATTATAAGTGTGATGTCATGTTGGAGCATGGGGTCAATCCAATTATAAAGTTGCCAGCAGCATTTTTTTTTTTTTCCCTAATAGATCTTCTTGGAGTTCCTACTTTTAGGAAATCAAAACCTTAGCTCCTTCATTTCTGAAAAGTTTCAACAGCTATGAGAGCAGCCTTATCAGTCTTTCTAGTATTTGTGCAATGTGTTTGAAAATACCAGCTCTCTACAGATACCAATTTCATTTCAAGAAATAATTTTCTGATCTGATCTTACTTAGTTAACTATTCAACACTGGATTTTTTTTTTTGACTTTTAGGGCTCAGTTTGCATCAATATTTCTGATAGGCATCACATAATAAATATCTAACTTGAATCAGTAATATTTCATGATTTTCCACACAAGCAGTGCATACATTCTTAAGTTTATTGCCTAAATTTATTAAACCTGAAAATATTCTGTAAATTGTTTTTGAGCTCAGCCTGTTAAGTACAAAAAACTTTCTTTTTTCCTACTCTTTTCTTGCCCTAACTTAATCTGTACTTCAATTAATGTGCAATGATGCTCAAGTCTTGATGCTGACTGTGGCTGCTGGATAGCTTTACATGAATTGCTAGTGACCTAACTATTTAAATATACCAAAGCATTGAAGAGTTTCAGTGGTATAATATGGCTTGCTGGATGTTTTTTTGGTATCACTATCTACCCATTATCATTTCCATAATCACTATTTCAGTAAGTGTCCTTTTCTGTGCTGTCTCAGTGTAAATGATTTTAGAGTAACTAAGGAACAGTAGGAGAGGGGAAGTGAGAAAGATTATACTGAACAAATAAGGCTAGATTAGATGTTATGTCTGCATAAATACACTGCAATTGTTTTCCCCTTATTTCATAATTTTTCTGGAATGTGGGAGAAAGGGCAAGTAAGTAAGTAACAGGCATTCTTTGCCATTTAGGACATCATCAGGACAAACAAGTAACTGTTCTTTAACAGGGCATGTCTCATCTGGGCATTAAGACTCAACACTGAGAGTCTAAATCATTTGTATAAGACACAGTCATTCTGGTACTGTTAATTCTGAACCTTACCTGTCTCCCCATCTTTAAGCCTCCAGTATGGCAAGTACTGAGCATATCATCACTAAAAGAGGATACCGTTCACCTCTGTCAAATATTGTTCCTGTGTCCAGATTTGTAATCTTCAAATCTGATGCTGTAAACTTTTGAAGAATCTGATCAAGAATCAAGAAATATGATTCAGAGTAGCAAGCTGTTTAATATAGTGGGCAGTGGACCACCGTGGTGAAAAGAAAGCATGTATACATGTTCATTCCATAAGCAATGTGTAAGCAGGTAATATAACTCTAGCTCTAAGTCACTACTGTTGTAGGGTTTACTAACAATGTTAAAATGGAAGGTGAGTGGAAATCAGGCACAGTCACATTTATTCTAATGTTTTAAGTAGTGCTTTTCTGTATTTGGGCTATAATTCCTGATTTTTTTTTTTTGTTCAGTTTAGTGTTCTGACAGGTTTGTGCTCAGAAATGGCATGTGCCAAAATTGTCAAAAATTAGGGGTCAGGAATGGAACAGCCTGCAGATAGATTGCCTCAGGCTGCAATGGGAGAGCACACTTAAATCGCTCTGAAATAAGTACTCTTAATCTGTTGTTTTTTTTTTCCCCAGGGTTTGTTTTTGTCTGTCTATTGAGGCTTTTAGAATATTCTTATAATTTTATTTTCCCTTGAATAATCCGCGGGCATCCTTAAGTTTTAAACAGTCTACAAGATTTGAAGAGTATGCTTGATGATACTTGTCACCTTTCTTTTTCAAGCATTTATTGTCAGGTGCCAGTATGTTTCAGTGAAATATGCAGACTGAGCCTACTGTGAGGAAGGCTGGCAGCCCTTGCTGTTTGATATGTCAAATAAACTCTGAAGTGTTTTCATCAGTATACTGGAGAAAAATATCTGTTTTTCCTATTACTGTTGTTACTGGAAAAACAGAGATGACAGAAGAAAACCATGTGAGGAATTCTTTATGGAAGAGTTTTGGAAACTGTTGGATAGTTCATCTGGGTATCTGTCCTGGAATGAAAAAAGTGTTTCCTGGAGAAACAGCCTATCCAAAATCCTGCTCAGTCATTTCTTGTGATTGATAGTATTAAAACCAGTGGGTAGGTAAAACCAAATTGCTTTCTACTCGCTGCTACACATTTAAATTTTCTTTGGTTTTGTCTTACTTGTATTTGTGGCATAAGTGATCATGCCTTCAAAATACTACAGGCTTTAGTTTAGAAATTACATCATCATAGTATGTTTAAGGCACACAACATTTCAGAGTGTGTAAAAATAGAATGTAATTGTGACAGAATAATGCCAGCAAATCAACACCTTTTGAATCTGAACTCTAATGGGCATATAAGTTCTAGACGCTAAATCCACCAGCTGTTTTCAGGTATTGCATGTGTTTAAGAAGGTCCATGTAATTTCATTACTGTATAAATGCCAAATTCCTTTACCCAAGTCTCCGGGTTCTGGTTTCTTCAGTTCTTCAGGGGCAATCAAATGAAATTTGGCAGGGTCCTCCCCAGCTGAAAGAGGGGCTGAAATAAGAAATAATGGACTTGTGTTTTGCAGAGGTTTTTTTTTTCAGTTTTTTTTTTGGTTCTACCTCTGTGTTTGTGAAGTGCTGTGAATCATTTTATGAGGTATTTTGTCCTTTAGATGTATAGATTCTGGAGTTAAATTTACAATTACCTTTTATACGTGCGTAGTTGCAGTTAAAGAATTTTGGGAAACTTGTGCTGGTGGGTACAAGATAGGATTTCAAGTATGAAATTAAAACTTGGAAGACCAGCACAGTTGTTCACAAACTTGCACTGGCACTTCCTGTCCCTGTCATTTCTGTGCTCCCAGTATACTGGTATGTGTTTTTCCTAGAAATGTGGCTTTCTGATTTAAACAACTCTGTTTTGTGTTGAATTCTCAAATGAGGGCACAGAACCATGGTTAGTCTTGGCAACATCTTCATTGTTGCAATAAGCTTATTTTAAAATGCAGCTTTTCCAGTGGTGCCATGTTATTAGTTGAGTTGCTTTCTCGCTTTAAGGCTTAATTAAATGCTCATGATGAACATCTAGAGAGAGATGTGTCTCACCTGCTGTGGGATCTCTTCTGTTGCTGATGTTCCTCATGCAACTCCCATTAGTGTTAACAGGAGTTACTTCAGGCACACAGAGGTAAGAACAGAGTTCAGAGTAGTAAAGGTCACAGAGAAAAATCATTCTTCATTTAATTTCAGTTCTGAAGAAGTAAAAGTCCTGATTAATGTATTTTAAACCGAATCTGCTGAAAGATTTGAAAGGTAGGATATACCAGAATAGTTCTTTTTTTTTCTCATGTGTCCTTACGTTATCTTTTACGGCATAGAACTGGGAACTGGGATCGGTGCAGTATCAAAAGACTGAGGAGAGGTTTGATTTAATACTCATCACAAATTAATTTGGTGTTAGCCTGTGTTACTCTTTATAATTGTCTAGTGCTAAACTGATGAATTATGAGCTGACAAATAGGAAGGACCAGTATTTGGAAATGTAACATTTCAAACTGATTCACCCTCCCCTTGAAATAATCCTGCCTATGCATTTTACAATAACCAAATAACGCATTTCTGAATGGTTGAGAGTTTCTATGTACTTGTGTATTGCTGCTTTTGGTGTGGTGAAAGGAATTTGTGCACTGGTAGCCAGAACGCCCCCTAGTGCTATATAGCAAGAGACAGCTATTAATCACCAGTTATGGAAAATTAAATAGTGGCTAACTTGCATAGCAAGTTTAAATTCAAGATGTAAATATGTAGCAGTATGACAGTATTGCCATCAAAAGAAGACAGTACAGAACATGGACTGAAATGGATAAATAGGAAACAAGCCCTTCTTGCTTATACAGGGAGTATTAAAATTAAAATTGAAGTCTCTATCACAACAGGAACAACAATACTGCTTTTTTTTTTATAGCGTGACACTTTATATGTCTTGGTACTTGATATTTGAGCAGGATTTTTTCAGTAATAAAGTGAACCAATCATGATTAAATTGTAAAGTATAAATAATGGTGTAGAGTGCTAACGACATGCAAATGTAACTGGTATATGCTGGAATAACCAGCAAGCCTGCTGTTCAAGGCTCATATAACAAAACTAAGATGACAGCCTTGATCCAGCCAGTTCAGTGATATTTATGTTATCAGAATTAGAAGATAGCTTTCCAGTGATGTAAATTATTAGTACATATACATTCTGTCTGGTTAGTGTATACATAATGTAACTGGTCATCTTAGTGGTATTGCTTACATTCTTTTTACATTAACTCATCACGCTCCATTCTCATGGAATTAAAAACAGGAAATAGTTTGCAGTGTAACAGAAGCAGCCAGTGTATTTAACCATGTGCAAGCGCTGTGTTTCAGTAGATGTACTCTGTATTGTAAGTGTATGACAAAGCATTTATTACTGTGTTATTGCCGTATTACAGAGCAAAGAGTGCTAAATAATCAATCAGTTAATGGTCTGTATGGCAGCTTGAACACAGCACATCCATTGTGCTTATGCTGTTAGAAGGATGAGTTTATAACTGTAGTGTAGTTGCATGTTTAGCCAGAGCTTAATGTCCTAAACTGGAAATGACACAAATATTTTTAAAATGCAGCTTCAGCAACAGTTTCCAAGTTCTCCAGTATTTCAGAAGGAACAATCAAGGATTATCTCAAAGGTTCTCAGAGAAGTTATTTAGTTTTGTTGGAACAGGAGAGGGAGGGGGAGCGTATCACGGAATACTTACTTTGGCTTCCTTTCACAGATTATTATTAATTATACTGTAACAATTTTATCAGTTTCAAGTTGAGATACAAATATGGCTTGCTGGAAATATATTCTAGAAGGAAACTAGCTGCTTTAAGTTGCAGCTGGAAAATGCTTTGAAAACCTGTAGCTGCATGTCTTAAAGTGATAGGACTTGCAAAAGAAGGGCTTGCACATTAGACTTGTTTTCCACTTCCTTTTGTGGTATGTTTCTAAAAAGAGGAGTAAGAAGTGTGCTTTAATAAATTGCTTTGTACTTTAGTCCCTCAGTCTTTATCCTTTTGTGATAAAATGCTGTTTTCTTTGCAGATAACAAAAATACCGATTATGCCAATTTCTATCAAGGTCTGTGGGACTGCACAGGAGATGTACCTGATGAGTTGACATTTAAACGTGGGGACGTTATCTACATTCTCAGCAAGGTATGGGATGCTACTGGGGCTACATAGTTGTAAAAAGCAAGCCATGCCAGAAGGGCACATTCCCACAGTTCTATGGGGGGAAACTGGCACTCCCTTTCAGATCCTTTGTTTACAATCAGATATTCACTGCAATTAATTACTTTGTCAAATGAACTATAATCGCATTTAAAACATAGCTGTGTAACAGGAATTGACTTAAAAGCATGTTTATTTACTTGTTAAATCTTGGCTACCATTTGTTAACTGATTTAATGGGAGACAATGTGCTTTCTGCTTGTAAAAGTTAACCTTGTAGATTTTCAAATTATCTTGTATGTTATGTTTTTTGTTTCCTGTTTTATATTCCTGACTGTGCTCATTCTGACGTTTTGGGCATCTTGCTACAGAAGGTGGTCTGTTTTTTTGAACTATGCTTTCATCTTTATATGTATATTGTAATTGTTCTGACAGCTCAGATGCCAAATTTGTTTGCGCTGACAGATTTGGGCAGTTTTTAATTCACCGCTTTCCTGTTTGCAAAGCAATTGAGAAATGTAATTCCTCTCATCTGAAGTGATGATAAGCGGTCTAAGCATGAAATTTTATTCTACATTAATGTTGTTTAATTTTCTTATTTTTCCTTAACCCGCTCCATCCTCCCCCCAGCAAAACCAAAACCTCCCCTAAAATAGGGATCTTATGGTCCATTGAAGTCTACTTCTGAACAATTCATCAAAGAAAACTTCTCTTTTCAAGTTCTCATTGGAAAAAAAACCACCTTTTAAAAAAAATGTAGAATATATATCTCAGGTGTAATTGCTGTTCAGTATAATTAATGCCAAAGATATCATAGGTCATTGAAATATACAAGTAGGTGCATGCAAGCTAAAGGCATCTGTCTCAGTTTCAAACTTTTCAGTTTTATCACGATTGCTTTAAATCTTCACTGATACCTTTAACTACAGTGTTTCTGGATAATAAATGTAACAGCTTCTGTTTTAAATAAATTTAAGATTTATGGATAGAAAGATGGTCCTATATAAAAATGTAGAAGATATATTACTAATGGTAATGTGACCATGTATGTCTTTAGAAGTATTTCATTGTCACTTAAATTAATAACTGCATTGCATCACTAAAGGCCGGATAACACTCTTGGATTAGGCAGACTTTCAAGCAGTTATACAGCATCTAATTTAAAATAACCACTTCTTCCAGCTCTCCCTCTCCCCCCAAAAAGCCGATGAACAGATTCTTTCCACTGTATGAGTTTGGCCTCTTTGTGGGTTGCACTTTTCTGGTATGTTATGTGGACTATAAAATCTTCATCTTCAGCTTGTAGGTAAAAAAATCATTTGCTCCTTCTCCAAAAGAGCAAGAAATTTAATCTAAAATATGGAGCCAAATAGAAAAACAGTAGTTTAAGCTGTCCTCTCTATATCAACTGTCCTGTGGTCACGCCGTGATTAATCCGTAATCGGGCCTTGAAGCAGGCTTGCTGCTGCTCCAGATATATAGAGCCTCTCTCTTTGGGAATGATTTCTACTCCAAAATACAGCCCAGAAAATTCAGTCCCGTTTCACTTAAAGATTGTTACAGCTTTTTCAGAAAAATGAGTGTTGGCCACTGCTGTCAGCTCTAAATTTAGGGTCCTTGGAGGGGAAAGTGCCAGAGAATTATCCATCTTAACCCTCCACTTGATTCACTTTCAAGGTCTGATCATTTACGAGCTCTTTGTCTGGTTAGTGGAAATATAACCAAAGCGAAAGTGAACCTAACCATCTTGAAGTGGGTCGAGACTTTTCTTCAAGGAATATTCCCTAATCCACAACATTAATCGGATTTTGTGGCTGTCGGTAGGAAGCCTTGGCAATTCTTTTATTTTTTCACACCATCTAGTGGTTGAAAATGAGAGAGGCAGGTACTGACAGGAGGCGATGTGAACGGATCCAAAATGGTGTCATAAATTCAGCTTCAGCTTGAACCCGGCTATGGCTTTATTGCCTTTCTATCATATGTCAGCCAGGTATGAACATTACTCTTGAAAATCACATTTTCCTGATAAGGAAGTGAGTATGGGTACAGCAGTATTATAGTAGGAAGGGTGAAGCATTAACAAAATAGCAAGTGTATTTGTGCAACATGTAATAGTTCTTTGTTTTACAATGAAATATAAAAGGTATAGCTTGCTCTGATGAATCTGATAAGATAGATACTTGTCTCTCCCAGCAACAGTTATGCCAAAGCAATATATTTTGACCTGCTTTCTCACATACCTTTATGAGGGGAAAAGCGACACTTTCGTTTCCAAGAAATGAGATCATTAGTACAGCGGAAGTAATTCGGAACCAGTTGAGCAATTTGGGCATGGATAGAATTTAAATAAAGCAAGAGCAGCAATATGTTACATGTACGTTTCTAGGTGAAATCCTGTTAGAAGAATGGGCGCAAGGTTTGAGATTGGCAACATTTGCGTCCTAAAATAGCTAAGCGTTATGCAAAGACAAATCCCCCTAATTTGCTTTAAACTGGGAATCAAAATACAATGTTAGTGCAGTGAGCATGGTTTGCATGCTTTTACTCTGATAATACAAATGTCAATTCCTGGCTAGTGTAATTACTGTAGAAAAGCATGTTTTCCATGTTTCACAGGTGTGTTCAGTAACTATTTTAGCTATTTTTCTAAATCTTTATGTCAGTTGTTGCTTTTGTGCAGCATCAGTCCTATGGGCTTTTCCAAAAAAAAAAACAACAAACCCAACCCAAACCTTTTTCATAGGTTTTTCTGCCTTTGAGAGTTTCTTTCAGAAGCTGGGTTTTTAATCTGGGCAGAATTAACAGAACTGTTGAAATAATAATTGTTAGCTTTTCTTTATTTATAAAAATAGTTACATTTTCAGATTAATTGGTCAATGTGTCTGTACAGATAAACTCATTATTGGTTTAATTTATAATATTCATGAGTACTATATGCATTATTGAATATATAAAAGTGGCTTTTATAACATACTGTGAATCATATGAACATTCAGAAAACTCTATACCCCTCTCCTGCTATGCAGTAGAAAACATTTTATAGCCATACTGATAGAGGGACTCATTAATAAGATTTATTAGTTAATATTGACTTTTTAATTAATACTGACTATTAGAAATGTGATACTTGGGCTTCCTGTTTTCTAAAATGATTATTGCTCTTAACTCCCATTCATTTATGGGCTTGCCTTTGCTTTCAACCCCATATGATAAATGGGAAAACAAACTGTGGCATAACAGTCCTTTTATAAGGCTTTCATAGCTCTACTCAGAAAGTCAATCTTCAGAAACAAACACAACTGTGAGTGGAAATAGCTATATTATTATTCCTTTTGTTAAAGTTTGTATGCACAATTTATGCATGCAGCACTTCCAATATTTGTTTGCTTTAGGTGCGTGTTTTGTGCTGGAAACTTCCATAGTTTCAGCAGCCAAATGCAAGTAGTAATGGAAGTTAACTTATGTTAGCAGGTGAATAAAGTAAATGTAAAATTTATTTATGTTAGTATGCTTTACTTATGCTTAGTAAAATTATTGACATTTCTTAACTTTGAAGCTAATTTGATTTCCTTCTCATTTATATTTATATTTGCATTAAAGCAATAAATAATACTTCTAAATCAGAAATTGTATCTTAAATTTGAATTCTCCCTCCCTTTTTCGTATTTCAGCACATGCTAGCGCAATATCATGCTGCTCACTCTTGTATTTATGATTCATGGAAATCACATCTATGACTTAACCCTTTGCTCTAGAATTTTCCATGCAAGTAGAGTGTTAACTCCATCTAGATTACCTTTATTCAGTGGTTGTACATTTCCTGTGTGGCAGATTTTTGTTCTTTCAATACAATAAATGTCTGTTAAAATGCTCATATTTTACTAAGCAAAAATACAAGTTGAGCAGACAAACAGAATTTCCATACTTCAGATTACTGCTTATGAAGTAAAGTGCAACTTAATGGTGCAGCTGTTTCATAATCAGTGTGAGCATTTTGTACATTATCTCTATAATCTTCATAAAATGCATTTATTCGGTATTTTTCAACACGGTGTGAAAGGCTATTTTTTGACAGATCATACTGAGATCCACATTTAACAGTAATTCCTCTTTCCATGACCATACTGCCTATGTCTACTCTAGCAAATAGGGAGTACCAATAGGAGCAGATTTGCAGAGTGAAGCACTTAGTGCTGAGGCGCTGGTGTCCACACTGTGTGTTTTCAAAGGGCTTTGATGTCCAAAGAGGTCCAGCCTGGTTTAGTGAATGAGAACACATTAGTGATTGGAATGTATTGAAGTGCATCTTTCATTTTAGCTTCTGAAAGAAATGTAGCATGGGTCCTCTGAGACTGATGGCTCTGTAAAGTGAGCCAAGGTGGGCAAAGTAGAGCACTGGGAGATTCACTTTAGTGGGATGCTTCTGATCAAAACTAAAATGCAATGCAATGTTGTACATTTCCTTCTTCTGGCTTGTTTAGGTATATTGCTTACAGGGCAAAAAAATCGGTATATGTTTAAACATCAGATAGGAGCAAAGGCCTTTAAATGGAAGGTTAGTTAGGACAGACTAATGCAAAGCGATTGTAGCTCTGTTGGTTTGTATACTGATTGTATGTAAGCACATACCTAACTGATTTTAAAAAAATTGGCATTGTGCTATCTAATGGAAAATAAAATGGCCTTCTATCATTAAACGTGTTTTCAGGGGCCAGTTTTGGTTCAGAATTCAGTCTACTTACTCTGATTTTATATTGGAACTCTCTAATTGGTGTCTATTTTGTCTCACATCATAAAAGGAAATAAAACGAATAATGCAACTATACGATAAATCTATGACTTACATTCTTAAAGATGACCATTTAATTGCTGTCTTAAAACAACTCTACTACCTGTGAAGAAGTCTCATTCAGTTATCTAAAACATTTGTCATTTTCTGCTTTTTTAGAGGAAATGCTGCTCTGTGGCAGAAATGCTCCCTGGTTGATAGTGTATCATCCAGCAATTACACCAAAGGAAGTTCTAAAACTTTTAGCTAGTCTGAATCTCCTGGATGAATTGGAGATGTTTTTAAATATTATATTGCCAGAATTGGCCCCCAGGATATTCTTACTAAAAATAAAAAATTCTCCCTGCTTCCTGCACATCTTTAGCTTGATGGGAGAGGCCACTTATTTTAACCCCAAACAGGCCTACAGATACATTTGCCTTTCAGTTTTAAAGTTTGCAGATCTTCAGCCAGTGAGTTTATATTACTTATAGTGCCACTGGAAGAGAACAGGAGAAAAATCTTGAATTCACACACTTCAGTTGTGTTTCTTTAAATACAACTGCATTGTTTTCTTCAAGACATTGAAACACAATGATGATTTTCAGCAACTTTTTTAAAGAAACAAAACAAATAAAAACTCCTACCCCACAAAACACAAAAACCATACCATATGTATTGAACAATAGGGACCAATTGCATAAGGACCAGATGTTCTCAACTTTTGCTGAAGTTAATATGGTGCAAAGCATCTGGAGATCCTCATTTACGCAGAGGATCTGTCCTAAAGGTAGAGACTGTTTTGGAAATCCCCTTAAGTGTAAAAATTTTATCTTCTTGCATGTCAAAATTCTCTTCTGCATAGTACAGAAATTGTGGACTTAAAAGGTATCTGTAAAAAGCAGGTAGTGTATTTCTCCCTTACTGTGATTTCCCCAAGCGCAAAAACTTTTACGATCCATGTCTCATGGAGTCACACATACATACATATCGGTGTAGGGAAATCGGTGGGATGGGGACAAGAAGCAGCATCTGCTCACAGTGTGTTCAGTTGAGAGCATTTCAAGAGCCTGTAAACCCTGATGGGATTGTTTTCCCCTGCGATCATAGTGCTCTGTACAGAGTGTTTTGCCAGCACGTTAAATGTTGTTAACCTGTTCCTTGCTGCACTGTGAAATTACTTTGGTTAATACATTTCTGCTTGGGGGGGGGGGGGGAATAAATCCACTCTGACAGACAGTGGAAGTAGCTTAGAAAGCACTTGGTCATTGTTAAGGTAGTTGTTTTGTGTTATTTGGCATAATACATTCCTTTGCCCTGGTGCTTGTCTTCCAGGGGTTGCGGTGGCCCCTTCCTGCCCCTGCCTCTGCCTAACATTGCCTGGTATGGCAAATGTGCTCCCAGTCACATGGCAGAGCCCTGGCTGCACATTTGTGCATTCTCCTCATTGCAGGGATGCTGGATCTGTCCCTGCCCCCCTCTCCTATCCCTCTCTTTGCCTTGGAGCAATTCATTTTGCAGTTATTGAATTTCTTTGGAGAGTTATTTTCATACAGCGAGCATCACAGCACCTCTGGATCTTGATAGCATTTCTACATACAGAGAAAGAAGCTTTGTGTTAGTAATTACCTAACATTGTCAGGAGCTGACTGCAGGCCTCTTTCTAGTGATAACAGAATAACCACATAATGTAGCTTTATAGCACATGATTAATAGAAAATAATTACACATCCTACAAAGGGATGCAATATTTCTTATAAATTGACTACAATGGTTCCTTAGATTAAAGGACTCTTCATTATTTTATCAGTCCTTCTGAAGTATAGTTGCTTGCCTATGTTAGCAGTGATGTTAAGAGCTGAATGTGGTGAAGGATACCAGATGGTAAACTCAGTGGTACCTGAGATCTGAAGCTGATGCTTGCAAAAGCACTGTGATTCCCAACTCCTAAGAATTCATATAAAACTCCAAATCGTATCCTTCTGTGTATTATTCATCCTTTCCCACAAATGTGGGCTTTAGGGTTTTATTCTACACATCTTAAGCAGCAGTAACAGGCATATGGACCTCACAACAGCAGTGTAATAATTAAATTATATTGCTATAAAGCAGTTTATAGTTGCTAATGTTGATAGAAACAATACATCAATTTGGATTTTATATGTGACTTCAAAAAAGGAATGGTTGGTGATGGCGGTGAGACTGCTTATCTGCCTGACCAGTAAGCGCTCTTTTGTGGTGGTGAGGACGGAAAGGAGTGGTTAGGAGTTTAAAGAGAAATGTCTGTACTTTAATCAGTCTGAAAAGGAGTGCTATCTAATTATTCTAAACCCTGAGATTAAAGTTTTATATTCTTGGTAGTGAGGTATCTGCATTATATTTTTGTTTGGGCTTCTACAGTCTGCAGATAGTTTAATTGGGATTCATGTTGCTCTTGAGACCCATGCAAAGAATAGTAATGTAAAGTAAAAGCTTCTGTGTTGCAATATTGTCTGTATGGTGTAATGGTTGGAGTGAATCCTTAAATTAGTTTACTAGTCTGTTACATCAACATCCATTTCATCTTCTCACTTAGCTTCATGCCAGAGCAGTAAGTGGTGTATTAGTAAGTAGCAAAACCCAGAAAGTTTTCAAAACAGCAGCATGCTTTTAATTTTAATTTGAGGTATCTGAATTGTTTCTTTTAAAACAATTGTTTCTAAGTTCATGTAGTGTTGCTAAGCGGAACATTTTCAATGGATAATGTAGTCTACATGCTTTTTCTGTGCCATTTGTCATATGCAATTTAATGACCGCTTAACTAAGCCCTTCCCTCATTTCATGTATTGTTTGTTTTTTTGGCTGACGTCTAGCAAAACTTGCTTAATCACTTTTGTCAGTCACTTCACGAGTTCCATGTAACAGCTTAAGACCTTTTGTTGCTTTCTCTTGGAGAGATTTATTGCTGAGATTCCAGTAGTATACATGAGTACTGCTCCCTACAGCAATTTCCCACTTCAGTTTAGAAAACCAGTTTGTATATATAACCAGTGCATTGTGAGATAAACCACAGATCTTAAAACAGGCTGATCTGGAACATTATAAACCTCAGTGTCAGGTTATTATTTAGCCTTTAAGGATTTGGGGTGCAAAGTGTACCCCCATGGGAAAAGTTATGAAGGGTTCTTAACTTCTACGAAGAGCAGTTTGCACTGAAGATCAAGTCCAGATACCTCTAGACTTTCAGACCAGCCCCAGTCCCAGCAGTCTGTTCAGCAGTGGAAGGGGGAAGAAGGTGGAATTATTTTTGCAGCTTTCTCATTTGTATGTTCACATCAAAACCAGAGGCTTCCTGCTGCTTTTTAATGTGGATTTTCTTTAAAGCATGCTTACTGCAGTATTTTATGGGTAGTAGGATACAATCTGTTAAATCACCAATTCACTATGAAGAGAGGGAAGAAAATGTTTAATTTAAGACTGGTGTTCACCCTTCCACAATAAGAAAATATAAAAGTGTGTGTGTGCCTGCATGCAAACGTGTTTAAAGGAAATAAAAAGGAAAAAAAAACCCTACAAAATACAAAACCCCCTGAGCCCACGTGAAAGTGGGCCATCAGCAGGGCTTCGTTGTAGTTAAGCACAGGGAGAGCTGAGTACACTAAGCACCTCATAGGACCCTAGAGAACTCTCTACCTGGCCAAATATGCCAGCAGCAAATCATTATAGCTCAGGCTCTAATGAAACTCCATTAACCCTTAAGCTCCACTTGACTATTTATAACCAAAAAACTTCATCTACAGCCAAAATAATAGCTTCATCTCAGTAGGACCATTAATTCAAAATCCTACAACCTTTTGCTTTTCTCATTGGAAGAGCAGTGTAGCAGGAAGCAGATGTTGCTTACCAGAGATATCTGTGTATTTCGTATTTTCCGTGTTTGTTCCAAAGTAATTTCTGTCTTACTAATCATTCAATTTTGAATGGGGTCTCTGTTTTAATAATGCTTCATTTGTAACTCAATACATGTGTGTGTGCAATTTCAGCTGTTACAATTTATTGAACTGCTGTTAGGATTGATCTTAAAATATTTACCTCATAGGAAAAAAATTAAATTTGGATCCCACAATACTTGGTATTGCTTTTGGAAGATATTATTTCTTTAAACTATTATAATTCATTTTGTTTCATATTTATCTCACTAAGCCTAAACAAATTTCAAACAAAAGTACATTAGTCATCTGTCAGACATATGAGATCTGCTGTAGAATTTTCTGCAAGCCTAAAGCAGGGGTAGACTTTGACCATAGAAGGAGATAATGTAGTAGATATATAGCGTTCCCTTCACATCTGAGTGAAGTAGCTTTTAAAATAAAGTTGATTGTAAGTTTCTCAGAGTTTAGCCTTGTGGTACTAAAAGAATCCCAGTTGATTCTTATAGGTCAGCATTGCGCTATTAGATTTTAGCTTCAAAGATAAGGTTTTTCTATTTGTGATGAATAGAGGATAGAGGTCAGCTATTTTTAGTAGGTGTTATAGAGAAGCGTGGCTGTAATTAAGACATCTTCCTGAGCATGCCTGGCCTTCTTAAAACTTCTGCGTTTGCCTAACAGTGCATGTGAATGCCTCCAACAAACAGATAACAATGTTTTAATTTTCAGTTGAAATGATTGTAACTGTATATAAGAGAAAGCATCCATAAGGAGTTGCATACAAAACTCTATTGCATTTATGTGAGACTAAAGGTTAATATTGCATATTGTTTTCAATTAGGAGTACAATAGATTTGGCTGGTGGGTAGGAGAAATGAAGGGAACCATTGGCTTGGTGCCTAAAGCCTACATAATGGAGATGTATGATATTTGAGAGGCCTGGGTAAGTACATTTTAATCCAATCTTCTGTAATGGCTTATATGTTCCCTTGTTCTCTGTTTCATAAGTATTTCTTTCCTGGAACCTTTGCAGGAGTCCTGTTAACATAAAGATTATGGCAAAATATATTGAAGGTTCAATTAAAGCACTTTTTCTTGGATTCTGTATGAAATATGAAACCACAGTGTGCAAAAGATGATGTATTTTATAACTATGTTCCTTTTCCAGATCTTTTTTTTTTTTCAGTAGAATTGATGTGCTTTGTAGTTTTATTACTTTAGTATATATGCATGTATCTGTGCAGAAAACTGTGGAAGGGGATAGATATTTGGTCTGGGTTTGACATGCGCGCTTGAGGTTTTCTGTTTAATGATGAACTTTCAACTTCCTTCTTCCTAATCAGGAGAAATCTGCACTTGGGAGTGGTGTGCAGCTGCAGTTCACAGACCCGGCCTCCGAAAGAAGAAGATTCTGCCGTACACATTCTGTGGTTTCAGTAAATGTAGCCAGATCGTTGCCTTGTGTATTTTAAACATTAAAAACTGTAATTGATCATAATTCTGAGGAAATGTTCTTCTTCATCACTTTTTATAGAATTGTAGCGCTAGGAAATGAAGTAGATGGTAATTAACATATGGGGCACAAACAGCCAAATCGTGCCTGTTGCTTTTTTCCTTCAGCATACTAGCAGGACTCTGCACAGCGTTGGGTTTGAGTTCTTTCAGGGAATTTCCTCAGATTTAGAAAAATTAATCTGAACTTTGAAAGTAGAGAACTGTTGCTCAGTTCATGCATGCATTAACCTTTTAATGCTTACTGTACATTTTGTGCAGTTTCCTAGAAGAATCAAGCAAAATTTATGCGTAATATTGCAAGTCTTCAGGGTATTCTTTTCCAAATGTTCTTGTATTTTGCTTTAGCCAATGATTTATTTTTCTCATATATTCAGTATTACATTGTTAATTATTATTTTGTTACCACAAAATGAAGCCTTGGCTCTTTTGCTGATAATAAATCAGCCTGTGTGGTAATATTGCCCTGATACTGTTCTCACTTGGAGATAGGAGTGATGTGAAAATTTATAAAGATGAGAATATATTAAACCCCACAGTTTTTGCTTAGTCAACATGAGGCAAATGGCAGCTAAGAATGATTTTTGTCTGTGGTAGTGTGAGCTATTTTCTCTATACCTTATAGATACTTTCATAATAAAATTTGGGTACCTTGTTGATAGGTGGAATTTGTGATGTAAGTTGTGTGCAGCAGACATCTTCAGCTCCACAAGGATTATTAATATCTCCCAGTGTCAAACCCAGCTCTTTGTGGCTAAAAGCATCAGTTTAAACATAAAAAAGTACACTAAAATACTGTCACTTGTGTGGAAGGGGTTGGGCAAGTCAGAGTTAATACTTGTTTTGGAGATGGGCTTTGCTATTAGCAGGCAAGACCAACTTTTTTGAGTCCTCCCACACACTTGATTTGTGAGACCCTTAATCTGCCAACGCGGCAGGTCAAGCCAGTCTGCGAATCGCTGAGCCTGTGCAGGTCCCCTTGTAGTTGCTTGTGCTGTTTACGCTTCAGGCGGGCCCTGGAAACACTGTGGGTTAAAAGGTAATGTTAGTCTGAACTCGGAATTAGATCCTTTTGGTAAACTGAGATGTTGTGCTTTATGTTAGCTAATGTATGGTACTTGATGGTACGCTGGATTCTAATAGGAGTCAGACAAGGTACAGAGTCTCGCTGTAATTTTTTAAAAGAAGAGATAGTCGTTGAAATTGATTCTGTATGTTATCAGTGAAGCATTAAAATGATAGATTATGGTCTTCAGATCTTTTACTACTTTAATTTATCAAGTGTGCTTGTGGATTGTGTACAGAATGTGAAGCGTTAATATCACGGCTAGAACACTTCCTTCTCTCTTGTTAATATGGCACTGTAATAAATCTGCCGGCCAAAATGTCTTTGTATTAATTACGTAATTCCCAATTCCACCACCACCACCTACTCTTTTGGAGTAAGCCCCCTCCTGTCGTTGAGACGAAGTGTATGCACGGGAAACTCGATCTGGGACAGGAGGGATGGGGGGATAGCGGTGCCGGGTGGGAAGCCGGAGGTGGTAGCGGGGTCCCAGCGCTACCGGTGCCCGGAAGAAGGGAAGGGGCGGCCCTGCGCGCCCGCGGCGGTAGGTGGCAGCAAATTTTCATATCACAGGAGGAGGAGGAGGAGGAGGAGGAGGAGGAGGAGGATGACTATGATGTGAGGAGGAGGATGACTATGATGTGAGGAGGAGCCCGCCCCTTCCCGCCTCCGCCACTTCTGCCGTATGTCCAGGAGAGGGAGTCCTTACCCAAGCGATGGGTGTGGGGCCGGCCCAGAGCCTGCTCCCCTGGGTGGTGGCAGCAGGAGAAATAAAGTGTCTTTTGTCTGTAGTTCTGCTTTAGAGCTCCCCTCACTCCCTTAGGACATATGTATGTGTGGCTGTAAACAAACTGCCTTAAAATCCAGAATGTGAAAGATGTCCTGAAACTCACTTGAAGTGTCTGGGTATAAACCAGCAGTGGACCATGGATGAATTGGTTACTTGAAATCTGTGCAAATACCATAACCTTTTTTGGGTAAGAAAACCTCTGTGAATACAACTTAAACAAACCCCAGTGGTACAAAATGCTAATTGCTTTATTTTCATTGTTTACCGAGGTTGCGCTTGCCTTTGTGTGAACAGTAAGCAAATGTTTTCGAGGTGTTGCGAGTCATATTCTGTACCGCGTTTTACTTGGTTATTTGCTCTGTTCTGGATTTGTACTATACTGCCATTAGATCTTACAATAATGTTCAACTCTGCAAATTTTTAAGGTTCAAATAAAGTTTAATTGTTTGCAAACTGTTATGATGCTAATAATTCAACAGCCTGCTGTGTTACTAATGAAATTACTTTGTTATGATTAATTTGGAAAATAGTGTGTTGATTGTAGTAATTAAGCACAACAAGGTGAAGTAAATGATTCTAATGCCATCTGGCCTCCAGACTGAATGAAGAAATGAAATGGGGCTGTCATTTGAATTTATTCGGAGAAGTAAGGGTAATACGAAGGCTTTTTATAGCAGTTGCACCCAGATATAATCGTGCCACTCTGTAGTATTTTTTTCATGTACTTCTACATACGGATAACCAGTTCATGTATTTTTCCAGCATCCAATTAGGGTATACCTCTTTGTGCATGCTGCCACTAATTGCATGTACTGATAGTAGTGTATGTGCTGGTTCTTCCATCATAGAGATGTATGGATGAGATTTAGAAAAGTGATGTACGTTGGTGTACCTTTTGCTCCTCCATTAATGATAAAAACTTTCTTTGACTGCAATTAAGCTGAATGTAAATACTACTTAAGATCCCATTCTATATTCAAAGCCAAATGCGTAAAATTTGTTCTTTTTGGCTCTGCATTCTGAGTATGACACAGCATTAGAAGAAGCGTAAAGAATAACCCTTTAGAACCTGATCCAAAGACTGTTGAAACTGAGAAGCTATTGAATTTGCTTGCTTCTGCATCAGGCTCTCAGAACAGTGCTCAAAAACAGGCAATACAATTTCAAAGTGCCTTTTGCTGAATGCTCTGTGTTCTCTTTCTGAAAGAGATGCAGTTATTTCTATAAGCTGGACTAAACAAAAGAAAGGCACTGACTTCTCTACAGCTGAATGATAGAAATCCATTTTTCTATCTCAGGTAAATCAAAATGAAGTTATGTCTGTAGATCTGAGTCCTGGCTTGGTAAAGTTCACTGGGATCTGTAGGAAAGCTGTAAAATATTAAAATGTGATGAAAGTAACCAGGTAGATGACAGTGGTGTGCTCTTCAGCTCCACGAGCCATTTGATGTTTCTCTCATCTCTCTCTGTCAAGTTGATGAAAAATTTATTAGTGTGTAACTGTGGGAATAAGTGTATGCATAGAAACCTTATAAACAACTTTCCACTTTACATACCACAATGTACTGATAAACTCTTAGGGCCTTCGCTTACCAGGGTTTCTCTGAGGCTGACATTTCTCAGCCAAGTGCCTACTTAATTCCATCTTGATTTAGAAAAACTGACACTGAACTCAGTAAAGAGTGCTCTGCCAAACCTGCATCTTTGTTTTAGAGTTCGTTTCCTGGCCAGCATCTCGTGTCAGAGTGAGAGGGACCAGCACCAACCAACTTAAGACTATGGACTTAAATTTGTGGATTCAAACCGGGTATCTTATGTTTCTGGGATGAAATTGCTTTGTGTGATGTGGCTGTCTCTTCTTGCTACAGGAAGAAGTAAAGGGAGGCCAGGATGATGACAGGATGTGCAGGTCAAAAGGATGCTGCTTTTCTTATCCAACTGTGTTGTGGCAAGGAACGTGTACAGATAGACATATATACATATTTGTGTATGTATATGGATATTTTGCCTTTAAATTGTGGAGCAGATCAGGCAGTGATAAGCCCTGAATTGCTATGTCATAGCCTTTTATGGATTTGTTTAGGAGCAATTTTGTAATGGGATCTAGACAATTCTGTTTCTGCTGCCTGGAACTTTCCTTAGTCCAAACTACCACAACAGAAGTTCACAGCAAGCTGGGTTCAAAGCAGAATACAAGGAAAACCGCTGCACCTGAAAGCTATGCCAACATGAGTCAAATTTAAGGCTGAAATATCAGGTTCTTCCCAGCCTCCTGGGAGGAGCAAGTCTTTTAGTTAATAGGAAAAACTGAAAAATTCCAAGGTGTCATCTTGTAGTAATGTGTGGGAGAATAAAGTACAACAGAGCAGGCAGTCTGGGAAGAGCCACTGGTAGATGAAGAGGCCAATAGTTTGAAATGCCACCAACATACATGCTATCTCTATTAATTTTCTGCTGTAGCAAACTGATGTGTCAGAGCTTTTATCCTAAACTAGCCTCAGTGTCTCACAGACCATAGAACAAACTTCCTTTTTCCCTTTGTTGTAAAACAAGTGCTACTCCATAAAGATATTTGATGGCTAATGAGCATTTTGCAGCAAGACTTTGTAAAGTTTATGCTTTGAGATGAAAAAATATGAAAAATTCAATGTTGTTACAGTGGGAGAATTTATGTTGGCCGAATAGAATTACCAGTGTGGCCACTTCCAGCCTGCTGTAATCTCTTGCATATTTGCAAACAGTGCCGTGTTTTTTTTTAACATCCATAGGCAACCAGGGTTTTAGTTTTACACCTCATGTTACAAGACAGGGTACGTAGCACCTCAGAACTGACCCTCGTGCAGAACTGCCTGGGTTAAAGGGAAAAAAAACTATTACACAGGATCATTATCAATCTTTCAAATGCCAGCAGCATGGAAGTGTGCCTTGGCAGTCTCCCACCCAAGAGCTGACATGGCCCAATGCTGCTTTTTAATAGTCAAAACTAATAGGGTCAGCATGAGAAGAGCAGAGCGCAGGCAGTCTGACAGGCGTGGGCAACTCAGTTTATTCACTGTCGGTCTTCAGCCTCGGTGACTTATTTCAGTTTGGAAGGGAAAAGATGAAATCTGTAAACAGTCACATGGCATCAGGGAAGCAGAGGGACCATCTTCCTTTGCTGCTGTCTTCTGAGAGGGCTGCCATTCTTGCCTTATATTTAAATTAAAAGCAGCCAGGCATAAATGCACATGTGTGGGAAGCAGTGGGTTTTATTGTACAGTCACTTACAATCATGTTTTGATGATGGTTTCTCCTTTCTAAAAGGTGTTTATATCTACATGCTGATAGCAGCCACACTACCTTTATTACAGAAAAACTGTATTCCTAGCTTTTAAAAAATTTCTCTTTCCAGTTGTTTAAAAGGGCTATTCTGGTAACTCCTCTCTTGTCCTACATTTCTCATCATAGTAGTAATCTTAGTGTATGACATCAGGCGCCCCTTACCAAAATCCATGTGTCTTTTGTGGCACTGATTTTGGTTGCCTGTACCAATAAAATACTCCATTCTTATTTTTTGCAATGTCTTTTCCCCTTATTTTCAGGCTAATTTTGGACTTAGTTTTAAGGTATTAGACCATGACAAAAGAGGGAGGCAGGGGGGTGGGTAGTCTATCCAACTAGATTTCCATTACTTAACAGAAAAATAGGCTATCCACATTACCGACTATGAGAACTGTTTTGGTCTACCCATTCATTGTTTTGTTCTTCTGAGACTGGCACATTATAGATGATGTGGGTACTTAACCACTCTAGACTGAGATTACCTATTCAGCTACTTCCTGTTTTATGATAGCCACCAAAGGTCACCTATAGGTCGTTATCGACTGGTAACCAGAATTACCTCCCCTCTAATGTATCTGGCATTGCTCTGAAAGCAGTGTTTGGGAAATGAGCATTTTGTCTCATGGGCTTTGTATATTTTCAGAAAGTGAAAGAAACTTCAAAACACAGAGGCATCACCACAAATAATCTCTCTCATGAAGCCATGTTTATGGCTTTCACTTCTGTAAGTACTCTGTCTTCACTGTGTTCCTGCATCCATTTACTTATGCAAAATTATGGAAAGGAGAACGTGTGCCATGAGGTGTCTTCCTGAAACAGATTTGTACAGAATTGGGTCAAATTGGTGTTTCAGGTACAGAATAAGGAGATGTCTGCTGGCAATTGTGAACCTGAATCTATACCAAGGGTGGTCTGTGTCAGACTTAGGCAAGCAGTGGGGAATGAAGACCTATGTGGCTAAAAAATGATCCTTAGTCATCTGTGTTCAATATTATCTTGGGCCCTTCAGCTGCAGTGCTGCTACTGAAAATCTCTAATAAATTCAATGAGCTAGAAATTTATGCAGGTGTTTGTCCATCAGGTGTGGATCAGGGTCTTGAATTACAGCCTGATTTGACAGAATGGCATATGAAACCATGATGCAATGCGTTCCTGTGTAAGTATCGTCAGACAGGCTGATGATGCCAAGAAGACTACGTGGACAGCAGAGGGATTTCATCATGCCCATCTAATTAAATGGTAAAGATAATGTATTGCAGTGGAATTCTCTTTCGCACATTGTAGTTGATGTTGCCCTTGTTAAAGAAGCCTTCATGCACAATACCCTTGCGTAGGTGTCGTAACATTTGAAACATGGGGAATATGTGTAAAGGTAATGCAGTCTAAGACTGACCAGAGTGACTCACAGGGATCACTAAACAGAGTACTGACCAGCTACTGAGAGCATATTTATTTCATTTTGTAAACAGTGTTTGATTATGAATTAATTGTGATAATTCAGACAATTATTTCCATAATTTTGTCTAGTTAACAGAAACAGTAGACATACTGTTTGCTAAATGCATTAACTGACATTACAGTGGCTATTCAGACTACATTCATCATAATACTTATTAGTGTCTGCCCTTCCTATGTCTGTGGTCTCTTAAATGTTCTGCTCATACTAAGTGTTGTCATTTCTGCTGGTATTACAGAAAAAAATTGAAATGTAGGCAGTTGTCAATGACACAAACGTCTTCTGTCTTTTCCACTGTCTGCTTCTTGGAAACAGTCAGTTCTGCATGTACAGGCTGAAACAAGGGAATTTAGCCATGTGACTCCTCCTTAACCTCAGCAAAAGTTGTGTAGGTAATTCAGAATTTGAGAGGCCACCGTATTAACTCCTTATTCGCAATAATAAGTATTCAGTAACATAGTTCCATTGGCTTCATTGGAAGTGCTCCTAAAACCTCTTACTTGTGTTAAATACAGGATTTAAAATCAAGTTGTTAGTGTTGTGGAAAGTTAATTTCTGTGATTTAAAAGATATCGCTAACCATGAGTTAGCTACCTAGATATAGGACGTCAATTTATGAAGTATTTCTTGATGTTCAGAAGTGCTCTGTGCCCAGCAATTCTTAACAAATACGGGGAGTATTATGAATACAAAGCAAATGGCTTTGATGGTTCTGATCTCCAGCTGCTCAGAGAAGATCTCCTTGGTGTAAGATAGCTCTTGTAACCAGATGGAAGTATTTTATGCGCTTCTCATTTTGAACTCCCAGTTTGCACACTGATGGTCTGTAGACTCTGGGCCGAGGTCTGATTGATTATGCCAGGATTAATGGGGACTTACTCTTCCAAAAACATCGCAGGTATGCCAGCTGTATGCCAGTGTACTGGAAAGTTGTGTTTGACCCCGTCTATTTCGTTGTCCCCTTCGTTTCCCTACCAAATCTAAATTGTATAGGAGCAGACATTATCGCTGTCTTCAGCAACCTTTATTATAGACAGCTGTCAGTGGCAGATGAATGCTTTGGCTGGGCCTCTGTCCTTTCAGACAAAGAATAAACATATGAGGATTTATCTTGTTATATGGGTACACTGACACAGAATTATAACATCTGTATATAGGGCACTGACAGTCTCCATGTCTTCCAGTATGTTCTATTTTCTCTAGGCCAAATTTATTGCTCTTATAATTAAGTCCAATCCTGAGGACTTAATGGAGTTGCACATTCTGAAAGTAGGAGGAAATACAGCTCTTGCTTAGCCAGGAGCCTGTGCCTGCTCTGGTCTGCTTGAGGTGCAGTTCCACCCCTTCCAAATGAAGGGTGGGTGACACAGGGCATAGCTTTAGGGAAAGCTCAAATTAGTCATTTTTATCATTTGCTCCATCTCACATTAGGAATGCCCGAATGACCTTTTGTTCACAGAAAGGCTTACACCCCCAATTTGCTAAATAGGATCATGTTAATCATTGGATGACACCAAGAAATAACAGGCTTATATTGCTCCCAGGTAGAGGCAGATTAGGAAGAAGTTGAAGCTTTCCAATGATGAAGGCAGCAAAGTGTTGGGATTGGTTGCCTGGTAGCTTCTGAAATTTCCATGTTTGGAGGATTTGGAGAAACTGTGGGGGATGAACTCACCTTTTAGGAATGGCAGAGCCATGGCAATTCCTGCCTTGGGGTTGGAGCATGTGCTAAATGACCTCCTAAAATCTGTTCCAGGCCATTTTTCTGCAATTCTGTAAATCGGCAGTGGACTAACCTCTCTGAAGTGGTAGAATAAATACAAGTCCAGTCTTAGCTTTAATTTGCTGCTGCTCTGTGGATTCACATGTTCCTCACCCCTTTCAACCACACAGGCTCCAAGCAGGACCTGAATTCACTATTTCCTGCCCAATAAACATGGTAGCTCATTACCTCAGTAATTAATTTGGCCAACAATTAGTATTTGTAAAGAAAACTAAAGGCTTCTTTCAAGTATCATATACCTTGCTGTGCCTTAAAGCATGTTTGGCTGTACCAGATATTAAATGAATTGTGAGTATGTGCAACATTGCATTGATTCTAATTGCCATTGAAAGCATTTCACTCGTATTTTTAAATAAATTAACTACAATTTCAAGTTGTAGCTACTTATTCATCTCAGGTAGTTACATTTTAGTTATCACTTTGGTGTCTAAATGTCTTAGGAAATAGAGAAAAGGATGAAAATAGTCTTCAGTTTTGCCTGTGGTTTCTTTCCCCCTTTCTGAGATCAAAAGAGATTTCTTCCAGGGTCCATTTAAATAAATAGAAACATTCTCATCCTTATAATAGGTTTTGGATCAGGTCACCGGAAAGGATAGTCCTCTTTTCTTTTTTTTTCATACTCTTTAATTGAATGTATGACATATATTTAATCCTGGCAGTATTCGTTATCTCTGTGAGAAGTCCTTTTAATTCTCTGTATAAGAAAGTGTTCTGTGATGTGGGTACCTGATTTTATTGAAACTCACATGTCAGGAAAAAAAATTATTGCCTTCCCTGTCAAAACTGACAGTAATTACGAGGCCAAATATATAGCTGTGATTGACTTGTAAAACTAAATCTGTAATATTTCAAGTTTGTAAGTTGACTTGTGCAGCTTTCAGGAAATATAACTCAGTATTTTCTTTGCAAACTGACACCTCTTTATCCATTTCTTTTATCGTCTTTGTTTTTATTTGTGAGGGCAGGGAGTAGACAGCATTTATATAGAACATACTGGATGGCATTTAACAAGTCTGCTTCTGGGGAAAAATAGCTAAACAGCAGCTAAAGGAAAGTCAGGAAGGTTTAAGCACTCGATTCCTTTTATGTGCTCCTCTTCATGCATAATCTTTCAGCAATAAATACTGCATATTGACTACTTAATTGTAATGGAAACATACTTGGACAGGAGCAACGTTGTAGCCTATTTACTGCCTTAATTTTTAAAGAGTTTTTAAATTTTAAAAGGGATATTGCAGTAAATGCAGTGGTGTGCTCTTCTGTGCAGAAGTTGATATAGAAGGACTTCCTCATCAAGGCTGTGTTACTGAAAGCTCCTTCTGTTTCAGCTGCTTTCCTTTCTCTTACCTTTGTATACCCAGAAAAATCTGTAATTGGTGTTTAGCCTCTCTTAGCTTGTGTGAAATTCACTTCATATCAAACAAATGGCTTTAGATTGATTGCTGAAAAAGCCCCCAGATAGGGTTCTGTTGAGAATTTAGATTTATCCAAACTAAATATTAAAGTTTCACTTTTTTTATATTCCTAAGAAAAACCCCAGAAACCAAAACACATGCAATAGTTTCCTGGTTAATATTGAACATTTCTGAGGACTTGTAGTAAAAATTGATCCTTCTTTGGCTGGAGGAATAAAAGGCTCCTACACATCAAATAAATGGGCAAACCTATTGCTGGCTTAAAGACTTTCTAAAGGTGAGCTAACAGCATTGCCTGGAAAAAAAAAAGTAAAGAGAGGAAGGTATATCTTAAATATGACGTAGTCATTTAACTGGAGTGCAAAATATAAGTGCTGAAGCAATATATATTAACAGCCACAAAGAGCCACTTGGAAGTGGCATCCACAATGTTGTATATGGTTTCAAATATACAATACCAGATTATTTTGGATCAGAAAAGATGAGGTTTCCTTTACAGGAACAAATATTCTCCTTTTTACTTCATAATTTCTAGGCCGTTGGGTATTTGGCTGATATTGCTGTTAGGCTTTTCAATTTTTTCCCCCCTTTATTTTTTTTTTTTTAATTTTAAATCCAAACCATTGAAGCAAAGCCCGGGAAGTAGTAATTTCTTTGAATCTTAATGCAGTCTGTCTTCTTAATGAGCCTACTGTACTGCCCTGAAAACACCTCTTTACAAATAAACATGCTGGAAGTGATTTAGCCACGATGTCCAGACTGTGTAAACATCTAATTATTACAATAAAATTGTCAATAAATATACATTACTGCTCCCTTTACAAACGTTAACCAACTTTCTCTTTGCTTGATAAAAACGTATAAATTGTATTTTTATGTCTCAGTGGGTTTTGTTTTCATTACCCTGGTTGCTGCTCTCCAGACAAAAGAACACAACCTAATGTCTGAGTTATTCCTGGATGGTGAAAACTCCTACAGTTGTTTATTAACATAAAGTGCAATGTTTCCTTTCAGAGTAAAATGAACTTGGAGCTTTCACAATCTGATGTTTAGTCACAGCATCTTTCTTTCCAGCTACCCCCCCCCCCCCGAAAAAAAAAGTCTATAAACCCTGTTATTTCAGTTGTAACTGTGGGATGGGTGCACAATTAAAACCCACTGATGAGCGGGAGGAAAGAACATAATGCTGAATTATGATAAGAACATAATGCTGCATTAGAACTGAAAGAGAATATAGGAAACCAGAGTAATTTGGTCAAAAATATGGAGTTCTGCTTTCAGAATTATGGCATCACGTTGACCGTCAGTGTGGCATCATCTCCCCCCCCCCCCGCCTCCCCATACGCAGCCCCTTTTCACATTTCTTATATAACTGGAACATTACCATTAGAAAAGCAGAGTGATACTGAATCCTAATGAGGTCTGGCCTATATGCTCCGGCAGGAGAAGAATGAGGATAATTCATTTGTATGCTGCGAAGCATTCACGACTCCATGAGTATCCCCGTGGCTTCGGCTTGTGGTGCTGATCATCTGTTCCTGCTTTAGGGGGTTTCATTGCTCCGAGCAGCATCTGAGCTGGGGAGAAAATAGTTAACCGCTTTACTGCTAGCTTTTGTTATATAATGACAATTTAATACGGTGGCTATTTTTTTGTTAACCTGCTTTAAAAAGGTCTTTCAAATGGTTAAATTAATCTTCTGATTAGCTGTGCCTGCCAGGTAAAATATAAGGAGGAAAATGGTGTGGAACACAGCAGTGTAAAATGCGTTAGCCGGCCTTAGTAAACATGTCTATTTTAAATAATCAGTGTAATGACAGGCAGCCATTTGCTCAGAAAATGTTTCTTTTTTTAAATACTTTTTATTCTATTTTGCTCCCCGTGTTCACACTGCTTTTTTAGCCTCTTTTTTTAAACTGAAGATATTCAGCAGAGCAGCATGTTATTTAAAAAAGGAAAGCAGAAATATTTACCAAAATCAAGGTATAAAAGATTCGTGCAAATTGCCATGTAAAATGATCTGCACAAAAAGGCATCGGGGAAGAGAGTGAAGGCTGTGCCAAACAGATGGCACACCCTGCTGTGTTTTTGATTGGAAAAGAAAGGTAACATTTGCAGCCACGTCAAAGAGACAGTGATCAGCTAAACAAATTGGTCTCCGAAGTACACCATTGCTGGAGCAAACCCTGCTGCAGGGTACAAGCGAGGTTGTATTTCACAATAATGCTGTGTGAACGTCGTGGCTTTCCGAAGTGATGTGAGATGTCCCCCTTTCATCTCTCCAAGGCAAGCAAAAGCCTTTGTTGAGATAGACTGCAATGTACTCTGCAAAAGCGGCAGAGAAACCCACAGACAATAAATACAAATGTGGGTTTTTTCCTCCTTTTTTTCCCCAGGTCATCTCCAAATTGTATTCAGGGACAGCCCAGCAGGTTTTCCATTTGGTGTATCAGGTGTCCAGGGTTCACACGGAATACAATTTCAATATGTTTTAAAAGAAATGGGAAGGCGATGCCAAATAATCTGCACAAAGGTGCAGCTGGAAGAGGAGGCTGTAGCCAGAGCAGCCCTCCTTGTGCTTGCATGCTGCCCGCAATACAAACATCAAACACGGCAAAGGAAGGGTGCGCGGAGGGCTTCCCACCCCTCTTTTCTTCTTTTTGGGCTCATCTCAGCTGGCAGCCTTATTCCGCCTCAGTAAAGACAAGGTACAGAAATGTCCTTTGGGTGACATTCAAAACTCGATATAAATCCTCTGCTTTATGAGACTGCAGTGCAATAAATTACTTAGCCTAATTGTAGATGTAATGAATTACCATAATTAGTCATGGGCTACATTAAATTAATCAGCATGGTACATTATTTTGCTAAATTACATCTTTGCCTTCCAAAGCCACCAGTGCAGCAATCAGTGTTTCTTGCAAGAAGGGAATGATGCTGTAATGAGAAACCTTTCTGCTCCTAGAATAGTGACAGCATATGAATTTTGATGGGAGTCAGAAAGGTTTGGAGACGCTGGAGCCTCAACTTGTGCCTGAAGTGTCTTCCATTGTTAATGATGCTCCAGTCCTCCTGCAGGGGAGCAGTGGGCTGTAGCTTGTGAAGGTTGTGGACGATTCTCCTCACAGGGGAAGAAAAACACTTAGCTTGTGCTTTAAGGCAAATAATATCGCTGATACAACAAGTCACAAAGCAGTGGGGTGGCAGAGAGATAATGTCTCTGGAAATATTAATAGATTTAGAATGTTCTTTTACGTTGGTTGATGAGATTTATAGTTACCAGGTATTTTTTTATTATTATTATTCATACCATTTGGATCTGAGTTAAAGCCTGTAGCTATTTTTGTTTTTTACTTAAACCTCCAGCTGTTCGGAATCTTGCTGTTGCTTCTCAGTGAATAAGTCTGGAAGCAAAGCCTACTTGAGCTGAATATTATTCACTATTCAGCAAAATGTTGTTGGGAGAGCTCCAGAGTCCCACCTGAGCACATATGCTCTGTTTAGATTTTGATTTGGTGGCTTATAAGTATATAAAGGCTATTATTTGGCTTGATGAATGATAGAGTTTGTATTTCAGATGCGTGAATCCTGATTATTTCAGTCATATTTCAGAAGTATAAAATGTTTTTTTCTGTTTGTTTGTTTGGGTTTCTTTTTTATTTATTTATTTTCTTAATACTCTTTTTACAAGGTCTGTCACTTTATTACTATTATGCTTTGGAACAAGTTTGCTTAAATATTTACTTATGCCCATGATGACAGCAGATGACAATTCGTGACAGAGATTCATGACGCTGTCCTGCAATAAGGTTAATTATCCTGGACTTGAAATGAAGGATGCTGTTGTGTTGCAGTTGTTTTGTTTCCTGTAGTGACAGTGTTTGTGAGCTTCTGTTTTAAAGGATGCATGTGTTGTCTAAATGCCCATCTGTGTAATGAAATTAGGCTAGGATTTTTGTATCGTTCCTTGCTGGTTTTGCCATCCACCTGCCTGCCTTGACCAATGATGAGGAATAAGCCAGGCAGTTTGAAACCAAAACTACAGGAATGGGGAATGGGAAAAATAGACAATGGAGGCAGTGCTGATCAGAGCACAGCTCCTTATCCTGCAAATCTGAGCTAAATCTTTGAGCGTGGTCAGGAGAAAGGGACCCAAATAAAGCATGGTCACATCTGCAGGGAAAAATGCATAGGGATGCAGAAAAGCCCTGTTTGTAATTTGTGTTTTTGTCCTGGTGGGAACCTATTTAATTAGTGCAAGGAGGTATTGAATTTTAGCTTATCATGCATATTGTTTTCCAGCTGTACAGAAGATTGCCAAGTTTCTAATGGCCTGACCCTACTCTGTAAATCAGCAGTAAATTGCGGCATTTACACTGAGCAAAGGCAAAGGGCTCATTCTGTTGGGTTTGCGCTGTCACAGGAACCTGGGCTAAGGGATTAATGGTCTGATGTTAAACATCTGTCCCCTGTCTTTGGGGGGACGTAAACACACAAAGAGGGAATCTAATGCCATCTACTAAAAGATCTTCAATGAGAGGGAGCCCTTGCTAACATTTCCATCCAGTGGCACCACAGACACATTGCCTCTTTATGTTAAAGCCCCACAGCACTAAGGGCCCTATAAATAGTCTCCATGTGACAGTTCAGAGAAGAAGAGAGGTTTCCTCTAGACATTAGTTGTGCTAAAAGATTCATCATTACCTGCAGTCATGAAATAAATCTTTGATACTTACAACTATAATATCCATGCTCTACGTTTTATTGCAGATATAGGTAGACAGTCATTATTTCTGACACTTTCTCAGCATTACAAGGAGTACTCTAGGGGAGCAGCTAGTGTACAGTCTTACAGAAATAGATTGATATAACCACATGGAAACCAGTTACTTGCAGTCAATATAATATTCCCTTAATGATGTTAAACAGCCGTGCAGATTCCCAGTTTAATGTAAAACTCCTGTCTTCAAACAATCACAGTTGTCTACAAATGAAGTTGCCAGAAGGGAAATTAATTTTTTCATCATATATTAGTTCTTGAGAAATAGTTTACTTGGAGCAGAACTAAAAAAAATTATTTTTGAGTTGTTTTTTTTTTTTAATCTGTTAGAGTTTATTGGTATTTAGGAGACATTAAAACAAGACAATGGTCAACAGCAATCACTTTACAGCACTTGCAGGAGATGGGAAGCATAGTATACAGTGGAACAGAGTACTAAAGGAAGCTCTGTGTGATTAGGTGTAGATCCTATCACCACACAAGTTCAGTGGACATTTATTTACACAGCCAGTAACTTCCCATATAGAAAAGAAGCTAAAGCTAGCTTAGGATCAATGAAGAGAAAGTAACTAATTTTGTTTACCTGCACTCTAATGAGAGTTAAGTGATACAATCGTATTCCCACCTCACTTGTACAGACACACAGGTTTTAAGCACTTGGCTGTACTTCTGTACCTGGGTTTCCTAAACCCTTCCCCTGTCCCACCAGCAGCTCAGTGCCTGCTGAGAGGCCTTACCGGTGACTGACCTCCAAGCCCAGGGTGTCATGAAAAGTGTTTGTGCATCTTGGTCTTACTGGGATTAGTTCTTGACGGAGGGGAGAGGCAGTGTGTGCTGGCAGGCCTGAATGGGACCAGAACGGTGGGTGCTGGAGGGGCTGTCACTAAACTGCAGGACATTTGAGTGACATGCCAGTGGCACAGATACTCCAGCACTTTGATGGCCAGACTGGCTGGCGCCTAAGAGAGCCAGACTGAATTTTTGGTCTGCCTCTTGCATGCAAAGTTTCAAAGGCAAATAGGCACTTCTGGAACAAACTGTCACCCGCTCAGAATGAGACTTGTTTTCTTTTTTATTATTCTTTTTTTTCTCTTTAGTATCATTATTGGTAAACTCTATGCAACAAATGGTGGGCATTCTAGGTTGTCAGTCCATTTTTTAATGTTTCTAAGACTGTTGATGGTATTCTGGCTATACTGGGTGTTAAGGGCCTCATGGTGTGTACCAGGAGCTGATCTGGGGAACTGTTTTTTTTGTTCAGCCTCCACAGAAAGGTGGTATAAAGCCTGTTGCTTTGCAGGCTCAGACCTGAGAGCCATGGCTTAAGATTCAGAAGAGCTGCATCAAGTCACCAGCGCTTTCCTGATATCAACACCATTTGACAATGTTATGCATTTTTCACTGAAGTGTGTTTGAATGATGCTGGGCCTTCATCCTTAGGCCATCAAATGAAACTAAGCACTTGTATGTGTTAATATCTTGCTGGTAGGTAGAGAGATTAATTTTACAAAACATTTGCACTGGCTCCTGATGAATCTTTCAGAATTCTCGAGAGCTCCATAAGTGGCACTGATGAGAACGTCTGCAGCAGCAGCAAGTTTGTGGGACTACCCCCATTCCCTAGTTCATGACCTCCGAGGATGAACTGGGTGTACTGCTTCTTTGGGAGAGTAGGAAACAGAAATATCAAAATGAGGTTTCCTGCATTGTCCTCGGTCTTGAGCAATGTTGCTGATTGGCCAACTGTTAGTTTTTAATACTGGATGGCCGGAGTCCAAGTAAACGTTGTGATGACCTCAACGATGCAGTGTGGTTTGTGGCCTCAAGGTCTGTGGGAGGGTGGCAGCCTGCCAGCCCCCCTTACATCTTTTGTGGGTTGCTGTTTCTGGCAGACCGGTGTTAGTTATTGTAAATGAGTGACACTGCCTATAACTCACTTTAAGATCTCAATTTGCAGGTGTCGGAAGAGCTGCGGGTACGTGCTTGTGTGTGCAAAGGCATCCCCATAGGCACGTGCCCACCTGCGCTCACCTGCAAAGCGTTTGTCACTGCCTTGACTTACCTCGATGTGATTGACGATAATTAGGTTTCGGCTGCCTTCTGATGCAGAAATGCACACCACAACAGCGTGGCCTGTTCTGCTCCTGCAGTTGTGCCTCTGAAAGGCTACTGATTCACGCTTTTACATTTTCAAAAGGTCATGGCAATAATTCCACCTGAATTGTGCTAAGTGAAAATAGTTTGCAGAGGTAATATGGTTCCTGCTCGCTTCCAGTGTAAACAAAAGCCGGTGGGTTTTTATTATTGTTTTTGGTATATTTTAGTTACATTTATTTGCCTCACCCTTGTGTCATTATCAATGAACCGTTTGTAAAGTTGTAAGGCAAGTGACCTTCAGCTCTTGGTTCCGTGCAGAGATACATATTTTTTTTCTACTATGTAAGGTCTGCTGGAATTGCCTATCATAATATGGTGCTCACATTAAAAATTAAAAGCATAAGAATAAAAATTGCCTTTTCCCTCTTGTCCTGGCATATATCTGCCCATTTTAATAAGACAAAAATATCTACAGCCCTATAACAGTAGTGTTAAATGTGCTTACTTTTTGTAAAATATCATTGTAGTTAAACAAACAGCCTTCTCTGGCTTGACTGGGAGCAGATTGTTCCCAATAGTTCGTTTGACTAACAGGCTATATAATGCAATGAGTTAACTTATTAGGATACATAGTTACTGTAGCCCAAGTGCCTTAGAAAGATGACAGGAAGCTATGGATGCTATGGCATAAATTATTTCAATAGCTGCACTGCAATTAATGACTTTGTATTCTCTCTATCTGCTTTATGAGACTTATGGCCATGGCTAAACTCATAAAGGAGAAAGAGAAGATAAGACTTTATCCACAGAATGAGCCTTCATATCTTCCTACAGTTACTTT